TCCTCAGAACTAAGGTCCCATCATGCACATCTATGAGAGCCTTGGCGGTGGCCAGGAAAGGCCTTCCCAGTATAAGAGGCACTTCTGTGTCCTCACTGATGTCCAGGATAACAAAATCCACAGGATATGTGAATTTGCCATCCTAGTAGCACGGGGTTCACCTAGGCCTAGTTTCATGAACAATTTATATGGAATAACATTGATACTAGCACCTAAATCCGCCAAGGACTTCTCTACATGCAATTTACCGATAGAGCACGGGATAGTGAAACTACCTGGGTCCTTTTTCTTCTGCGGCAGCTTGTTCTGCAGAATAGCCGAGCACTCCTCGCTGAGCTCCACAGTGGCCAGCTCACTCAGCTTCTGCTTCTTTGAGAGAAGCTCTTTCAGAAACTTCGCATACTTTGGCATTTGCGATAGTGCCTCAAGAAAGGGCACTTGGACATTCAGCTTCTTGAGCATGGCCATGAAGTTCTCGAACTCTGTCTCCAGCCTGTCTCTGTGCAACCGAGTAGGGAAAGGGAGTTTAGGGACATACTCCTTCACTACTGGTTGCGGTTTAGGTGCAGGCACCTCAACCTCCTTCTCTACTTCTTGTTCCACCGCTGGAGATGCTGCGACAGGGCCTTCTTTCGCCGGTTCCCGAGCAGGGGGATCAACAGTCAGCTTGCCACTCCTGGTCATGATGGCATTGCACACTCATCCGGGATTTGCGGGTGAGGGATGGTCTGCGCTGGTAGAGTACCAGGCGCCCTTTGAGCCACTGCCTGGGCCACGCTCCCCAGCTGGGTCTGGATATCCTGCAAAACAGCCTGTGTATTCCTCTGACCAGCTTCAAGAGCCAGAAGTTTCCCCGAGGCCTTCTTCATGAACTGCTCAAAGGTGTTGAACTTCTGAGCACTGGTACTGGCTAGAGAACCCACCAAGTCCCGCAGGTCAGCCATCTGATCATTCTGCACGGGGGCAGCAAGGGCTGCACCTGGCTGCTGATAAGGGCGCGGCTGTGTTTGAGCAGCATGCCCCTGCATGGGCTGATAGAGAGACTGTTGTTGCTGCTGGAATTGCCCCTGTCTGGGCTGATATGGTGGCCTCTGGAAGCCCGGTGGTCCCTGTGGAGCTGGTGGTCTGGGATTTGGACCAGCCCAGGAGAAATTAGGATGCTGGCGCCACCCCTCATTGTACATGTTGCTGTAGGGGTCATTGCGCCTGACATTGTTGATGAAGTTCACCTGCTCCTGGGGTGTGGTCGATTCCTTCATCGCCTGGCAATCTTCCACCATATGATGGGTGCTCTCGCACCACTGGCAGAGCATCGCCTGCTGCTGTCCGGTCCCTGGAATCATCCCGGAACGATCGATAGCTGAGACCAGCTTCGATACTACCTGCACCAAATCAGATGACTGGGTACCCACAGCATGCACACCCCGGCCTGGTGCTCTCCTCGATCTCCTGGCAGTGCCCCAATCATAACCATTCTCCGCCATCTCTTCAAAGAGTTGATTCAGCTGTGGCGGGGTTTTGGTCAGCATGTTCCCGCCACAAACCGAATCGATCAGCTGCTTGTCCTCCGGGAAGAGGGCGTGATAGAAGGTGCCCACCTTGAATGCATCGTTGAAACCATGATTGGGGCACCTGAGGAAAAGGCTGTTGTATCTCTCCCATGCATCCCTGATGGTCTCATCCTCATCCTGAGCAAAATGTGTAATCTGCTTCTGGAGATCAGCTGTCTTGGATGGAGGATGGTAGCGGGTGAGGAACTTGTCCGCCAGGTTGGCGAACGTGGTGATGGAGCCCGGAGGTCGAGTGTCTAGCCACTCCTTGGCCTGCCCCTCCAGAGTGAATGGGAAATACCTTAGCTGGATGGCATCTGCTGGTACCCCATTGATCTTGATTCCATCGATGAGCTCGTGGAATCGCCTGAGATGTGATCGAGGGCACTCTCCCTCCTTACCACGGAACACTACTGAACCGCGCAGCATGGTGATCACGGAGGTGCTCACCTCAAAGTTGTTGGCTGGGACCTGAGGGTGTTGAATAGGTGACCTCATGTCCGCAGCCCTAGCGGCCCAGTAGGATCCCATGGTCTGCTCCTCTGGGATCATATCACGGTTCTCTGGATCAGCCATCTCGCCTTCTTCTTCTTCTAACGGCAGCTGTGGTAGCTCCTCCTCCGCAGCCAGTCGTGCCTTTAGAGCCCGCTTGAAGTTCCTGCAAGTTCGTTCAAGCTCCTGGTCTAACGGTAGTAGATCTCCCGACTGGCTACGGGTCATGCACTACCTGCACACAGTCAGCAGAAACAACCCGTGAAGGCACACAGGTGGAAAAGAAAAATGCAATAAAGAAAAAGCTAGAGTAACAAATTATCACGTTTCCCCAATAACCTAGAGGGTCCCCGGCAACGGCGCCAAAAACTTGACACGCCAAAACACAACACCAAATTGCGACCAAGTGTAATCGCAGTCCGGGAATGCAGTAACAGGCAAGTTATATTATCAACCCGGGGTCTAGATCTACTGCTTACTCCGTGATTCTCTATTATCTAGCAAACTAAGCCGAGTGAGTGTTGTTTAAAGCAAAAGCAGTAAGAAAGCAGGAAATGGTTCGGTTTTCAAAAGCAGTTAAGAGTCACTCGGGATTGAGTCCCCCTAGCCCCTTAGTTAGGTTCAATTGCAATTCCCTGGGTTGATTTACTATTGATTAGACTGCGGAAGATCCGACAGTAGCTTGGAATCTCTTAAGCTGACCAAGCCCTCTCAGTATAACTACCCGGCAGACGACTAGTCTTCACCGGGATAGAAAGCTGAGGCTATGAACACAGAACTCCACTACTGGCGTCAAGAACACCAGTACAAACACTACAGGAAAAACATCCTTTAATCACGGGAATTCCCGTGTTTAATAGTTTTAATCACAGGAAAATTACCGTAATATATACCTCCGTGTCTAATGGTAAAGGTCATGGGAAATTTGTACCGTGACTAGTTATAACTAGTCACGGTATAGTTTCCCGTGACTAGTTATAACTAGTCACGGTATCGTTTCCCGTGATAATTTGGGCCTATTAATCACGGGAAACCCCATGACTAATATCAAATCTTGCAACACAACACCAACAAAAAACTCATTTAGGTACGGGATGTCCACCTTTGAACACGGTATATACCATGAAAAAATCATTTCCCATGACTAGAAGCCAATCATTAGTCACAGTATTTGGTCGATTCTCTTGTGTCGTTGTATTAACAATTGGTGTATTTTACTATGACAAATTATCAATCACTAACCACCATATTTTCCAATGATACACTATTTCATATATTATCATACATATAAAATTATAAGATTATTATTGTCAATAACCAAAACAAATATCAATACAATTGAAAAGTCTCTTGTAGCATGAAACTCCAACCAAATTGAAACCATAAAACATTATCCAAATCCTTATGCTACTACAAGATATTCTTGACTAGCTAAAATATCAATAAACTTTCGAATGTTCAAGACGAATCAACTCTTGAATCTTCAACATCAAGTCTTCTTGATCCTGACAAAACACAGTAAGAATTAGGACTTCTAATTAGTTCCTCTATGAATATGAGAACTTAAAACAGTTGTTCAAAAATAAAAACTTGACACTTAAACTAATTAGGTGTTGCTCGTTCATGCATATTCTCTGCAAAGCTAACCACTCAGCAAAATAAGCTGCACAAACCATCTTAATTGCATTATTTTTTGTGAGTAGCTAGCTTTTGAGAAAGATCAGCTAATGCTTGTAGAAATTAAACTCTGTTTTGAGAAGTCACAGTCATAAACTCTGTTTTATTACCAGCTACTTCTAATGCGTTAATCAATATGACACCAAAAATCATGTGTTGTTTCTTAAAACTCCAAGAAGGTTCAGAAAAATAAGCTAATGCTTGTAGAAATTAAAATTGAGAGCTTCTGCCTACTAAATTACATGAGCTACAAACATTCAATTTGTTAAACAAATAGGGAAAGAAAAGAAGAGAACAAGTCAAAGACCTTTCACCGAGAAGAGTTAATTCTTCCCCAAAATCTCGTCCATCCATTTGCTATACGACCATTTTTGAAGAAAAAATCAACCAGTATGGCATAATATTGGAATTGAATACTTTCTAATGGGTATAAGGGACAAGAGCAATCAAGAACTACTGAAGAAAAAATCGACAAAAATCATTAAATAAACCTAACACAATGTTCCAGTTTCACTAGACCATGACAGCAGATGGGGTGAAGGAGCAAAGATAAGAAGTTTCACCAGTTCATGCTGCTGCTACTCATACAGACTACATCCTTGTGCTGCTGGTTGTACTCCTTATATGAATAAAGTCATAAAGAAGTGTACTCCTTAAACCCTGTGAACTTCTGACTTGGACATGTAGATGCATCATTGGGAAGGGAACAAACATATATCAAATAATGATTACAGTGGAGAAATATACATACAAATCTGAATACCAACATGCTGCAGAATGAATCTTACTTTGACATTGATGTTAAAAGATCCATTTGCTATAAGAGTGCAAGATACCAAAAAGCAAGTTGTAAGCTGCAAACTTCACGAGGAAGCCTTTGATTCCTTCAGAGTAGAGGATCCATTACTGTGAATAAACTTGGCAGGTTAAAATAAATATAAAAAATCCAATTTATTCACCTCCCACACTCGCCCATTTCAACATCATGGAGAATTGGAGATGCAATCATCTACTCATAAATATCAGTGGATTTCACTTGATATGAAACCCTCACAATGCCCAAAACCTTACCCATCGTTCTAACATAACCTGAACAAGGGATTAGCTCTGTCCTACCAAATTGTCTTCCCGTCATAACTACTCGAACATTGCCTTTTGAAGATGCAGAGAAAGGAAACCCGCATATTTAAACAAACAAAAGGGCAGCGCAGGGGAGTCCATATGCGTTTCACACAGGGGAAACCCCACTAAAGGAAAACTTCAGCACACACATGCCTTACCCCAATAAGGCTCGAAAACAATTTGGTTTCCCAGTAGGAGTAGTTCCGGCAGCAGCAGATCTCGGCGATAGCAGCTCCGCTTCCGCAGCCAACAATAGCAGCATATTCTGACAGTAGCTGCTACTCCGCTGCAACCAACACCATTAGCTCCAACAACAGTAGATCCCAGCAGTATGAGCTCCGATTCAGTAGCCAGTACCTCTACTTCGACAATCAGCCCTTCCTTCATCCTCTTTCTGTTGCATTACTTTGTACCTCTAGTATCAGGCGATTAAAACAAAGGGGAAAAGGAGTGTTTGATGAGTTCAAATAAAAAGAGAAATGGAAGAGGCTAAAGAGATACAGGAAAGAGATTCGAGTAAAAAAATACCACAACTGTAGACCACGATAAATCTTCAGGGCATTTGAGATTGAGATGGAAGGAGAAGAGATTGACATCGGAATGGCCGTCTGAAAAACAATATCCGTAATTAAGATTGTCATGGGAATGATTTTGCTTAGATGGAGGAGGGTATGGGATTGAGATAGCTATAGTAGAGTTTTTAGGCATCGAGTTAGGTTAAAGAAGGGGATGACGCCATTTCTCTGAAGAACAAACAGACGGAGACGAGAAGAAAGAGAGTTTTTTTTTTTGGAACCAAGAGAGGGGTTGGAAAGAAAGGTAAAGGTTTGCTTTTCTTTTAGTTTTCCTTGGTAAAAGAAACGGTAGGAGAGTCAAAATTTTAGGATGAGCGCCAAAAATGACTATGGAGCCAAAAATTTCGTTAGTTGAAATTTAGGATTTGTATAGGCGGGAATAAATTGTGGGAGAGCCAAGTTGTTTTGGAGGGAGTTTTTCATTTCCAAAATTAAAGAGGGAGTTTTTCAATTGCCAAATTAAAAGAGTCAATTTAACGCAATTTTGGAATTCTGTAAAAGTCCAAACTTAGGGAGCTGTGTAATAATCAGAAAGGGAGAAAACTCTTTGATTAAAATTTCATTTTTTTTAACAATAAAAGAGCTGAAATATATATTATTTATTCAAAATTCCCTTTTCTAAACATATCCTTGTTAGTTTTTCACATAAAATTTGAAGATATATATTGTAAAATTGTCACGGTTAATTACCGTGACTAACAATTAATCACGGTAATGAAGACAAAAAATAGATGAATTTATTCCCGTGATCAAAACTATACAACCAGATATGGTAATTTTTACCGTGACTGCTAGTATACTTCTTAATACGGGAAAAACTCCCGTGAATAAGATCCCGTGACCAAAAAACAGTTTTCCTGTAGTGAAAGCAGTAAACTGGCTAACTCTCGTATAGCCAATCTCCTACTATCGAATGAAGAGGCTCTAACAACCTAATCAGATTCTATCTATCTCAGGTTGAAGCAGAAATTGAGACAAGCTGATCAGACTCAAATCAATTCATGAAACATGCATCATTCGATTAAAATCAAACAATAATATCATCCCAAGTCATTACAATCAAATCCCTAACACAAGGAACTAGGGTTCTTCATACCCAAGTGAGAGAAAGGTTCTACTCCATAGAGAGAGAAGAGAAAACAAGAATCGGATTAGTCATACTCATAACGATGAGGATAATCTGCTCCGGGACGATGATGTTCACTCCTATGACGATCTCCAGGCTCGATTCGATGAAATCCAGCTCCAAGACGGCTTCTAGGATGAGTTCTTCGCACTTTCTCTCTCTAGGGCTCTGTTTTTGCTCTCAAAACGCGATTCTCCCACTTTTGGCTCGGATTAGGCACTAAAACCGGTCTCCCCGAGTTGCACGGGCAGGTGCACGGCCGTGCACCACACCATTCTGGCCGTGCACCCTCAAAACGCACCGTGTCATTTATTTGGAGCTCAGCCTTCTTGCACGGCCAGGCGCACGGCCAGGCGCACGGCCGTGCACGCCTGGATTGTGCCCGTGCATGGCCTCGGCGTGAGGCGCACGGCCAAATGGCTCAAGTGCACGGCCGTGCAGCCTCCTGGTCTGGCCGTGCACTCCTCCAAAAGCTCGCCAATCGTCCGTTCTTCGTCCAATCGACCCCAGACTCGCTCCTAAGCCTTCATTCACGTACTAGGACCTGAAATAACACAAACAAGCACAACCTAGCGTGAAATCGGCCTAAAACACGAGAATCAACACCTCAAACGGTGTAAGTATGAGGGTAAAAACATGTGTAAATGACGGTCTATCAGTCGGCTAACCATCGCACATGGAAGTTGAGAGAACAAAGCGTGTTAATCCTTGACTTACGAAATATTTGCTCATAGCCCTTCTCATGTCCTCATCAACATTCCCGTAGATTTCGCTGGAAAACTTGTCCAATGCAGCATCACCATCTAGCTTCTCATCTTTCTCCTGTAAAAACCCAAACATTATTATCGCTTCATCAAGACATGTTGAATGAAAGTTCAGGAAAGTTGTCATGTACAAGTATATAATGCATCTGTATTCACCCTGTAATCTATTTACTTCCTTCTTAACTAGTGCTTCCAACTTATCCCAATCTTTGTCTTGAGACTTTAATGATGGGTATGCCGGCCTCAGAGAGATAACTACATATGAAGAACAAACAAACAACAACATCAAATAATAAAAATTTGCTTTCAGATATGTCATTTGTCACCTAAACAATGAAGGAAGTGAATAGAGGACATGAGGGAGTAAGAAACATAGTTCATTACTTGAAGATGCATTTACTGTTAGAAACCGAACAGAAAAATTAGGGTTACCGATCTGGCTGAGTCGCGGACTAGGTCGCTCTCTTTAAGACGTTCACGGCACTGCCTCGTATTGCGAACAACAGACTATCAACCGGTCGCCTCCAGGATAAAACAGCCATTCTGATTTGTTGCTCATCGGGTTTGTGCGAAAAACCGGAGCTCTATAAATTCACTCTCTCTCGTGTTTCTGCTCTTCTGAGGTCTGTTTAGAGGGTTTGGGGCGTCTCCTACTTATAGGAGCAGAAACCCCAGAATATTCCCTCTTTCTTTGGGAATAAGTCACATTTTAATTAGGGAGATAATTACTCCCATAGTTAAAATATAATCTATTAAGATAATTATTCCTAATTATCTCCATAATATTCCTTTTATTAATTATCCATCTGAATTTCGTATTATGGGAAAATACTGGATAATTAATTAGGAATTTCATTATAGCTTTTCAAAGCTATTCATCCCAACAATCCCCCACTTGAATAGTTTGAAACTATCTATGAGCATCAACAGTTCCATAAGATCGGGCATAAACTAAGGTATCGCGAAGATTTGAACCTTAGCGTAGTGGTTACACTTCCGATTTCATAAGGGTGACTCGTAGTCTTGAACCCTATCTCAGAAAATGTAGCACGCCGGATCTTTTCATTGAGTGATATTCTCTCATAGGCCGTGCATTTATGACCATGCACGTTATCCCAGTTTAGTGAACGCTCTAGCAACTTTGTGCCTCCAAAGTTCCATAGGGAGCGGCCCCACTCCCACATTCACATAGGTGAGTCTATCAGAAGTACCCCCAAAGTAAAGTACTTCACTCCACATAGAGTATAGATCTCATTAAGAGTTGAACTCAACCTCCAAGGCTTTGGGATTCATGCTTCACTATGCATGAACTTTTCTCAATATTACTCATGACTTGTTATTACCCATTGAACACGTTTCTCAGGATCTCCAGTCTATCGGGTCGGGTTACCATCACTTGTAATCCATGGTTCGGTAGGCATAAGTCTCATACCCTTCGTGGTATTTTGGACTTTTCTCTCTAGGTAATCCTTTCGTCAAAGGATCAGCTAGATTCTGTTAGGATCTCACATGATCCACCCTCATTGCTTCTATCGTTAGGATTTCTCTTACAGTACTGTGCTTACGACGAATTTGTCGTCTCTTTTCGTTCTATAACTGGTTCCCTTCTTTTGCAATAGCTGCGGTGCTATCACAATTAATCAACTACCGGAGGGATCGGTCTTTCCCATAAGGGAATCTCTAGTAGTGACCCTCTCAATCAACTTTCCTCTTTACTAGCCATTGCTAGTTCTATCATTTCCGATTTCTTAGTTGATTGAGCCAGGATCGTTTACTTCTTAGACTTCCAAGACATAGCTTCTCTATTGATGTTCAAAACACATCCTCTTGTTGTCTTGGATTCCTCTATAGGGTATTCTAATCCGCATCACTATACCCTACCAATACAGCAAAACCTTTGATAACAAATACCAAGGTTTTTTCTGTTCTTTTAAGGTGTCTCATGACCCCTTTCAATAGTATTTCAATGCTTCATACTAGGACAATCAGTAAGCCTGCCAAGTACCCCCCACTAAATCGGGTCTCATGTTTATCAATTGCCTCTCGCAGACTGTAAATGCTAGTATATTTTAACTTTCTTACACCGTCTTAGGTGTTCTTTAAATATTTATACGAGCATCATCAAACATGTATGTAGGTGTACATCTTGTATTTTCCTAGTTATTAGGATCTCTAAGCATAACATTTGTTTCATTCAGATCCTTCACATTCAAAATTCTCAACCATCATGGTTTTTCAATATTGACATCACGAGTCTTTGTACCAAAGATCGACGTGTCATTCATAATGCAAGTGTTATTCTCAAATTTGTACTAAATGCACTTGTCACTTTCACTTTTAAAACCATGAGAGAGAACCAGTTTATTCATGGCATCGTCTTAGAGTCTATTTCAAATCTTACAATGATTTGTCTAACAACCCTATAGGTTGTCCCGTGTAGATTTTCCTATCTAAATCACCATTCACAGAAACATTTTTAACAATCCATCTGACGCACAACACTAGCAATCAGAACATACATGGATGTTATTCTACATATGGCGAATAGATAACAAGAAAATTTAAAATTTTTCCTTTTCGCTTAAAGCCTTAGCTATTAGGCGATCCTTATACTCATAAACTAAACCAATAGGTTTCACTTTTCTTTTAAGAATCCATTTATTACCCATGACTTCATTGCCAAGAGGTAATTCTCAAAGATGCCAAATCTTGTTCGATTCTATCGATATATTACCCAAGGCATTTCAACCATGAGGTAACTCTACAAGATTTTAAGTCTTATTAGACTCTAATAATTCCATTTCGTTAATAATGGATTCTCCCACGATTCTGCATCTTTATGGAAGTTCGAACTTCTAGTAGTCTTGTAGGATCTTTCTTTCTTAGGGTGTAAATAACAAATTCATAACCAAAAACCTTAAGAGATTTCAGGTTCATTTGCTTCTTCTGAGTTTAAACTCAGATTTATTACCCCCACTAGTTCTATTATTTCTAATAGTAGGCAGGACACTACCCCCACTATTTCTTGATTTAAAATGGAAGTTTCTTGGCATTAATGGATTTCACAACATGAGGTATTTCGTTTCATAGGAACTATGTGTTCTTATGGTTAACAACATAAAACACACTCATATGCTCTTCTAGTTATCATGCTACACTGATTTTCTAACGCTACCACATGCATGCCACATATCAAATAATCAGTGCAATCATAATGCAATTAGGCATTTCAAACCATTTCAAATAACTAGTCAGACAATCAGAGCACTCTAAAGAGCAATAAATTGTTTATTGTCTTTTCCATCAAGTTTACCCACATAAATCAGATCTATTTATCATGATTCTCTAATCACATATTTATGGGTCATTTAGCTTGGATATAGAAAATTCACATTTTTCTCAAGCATCCAATAATAATATGGGAATGCGATATAAGATATTCTAATTCTTCACACAGACACACTTGGAAGAATTTATCTTATCTACTTAACCATTCCTTACATCTAGGATAGTCAATGACGTTCTAGAGGCA